AGAAATTTTGGGCTCAGTTTTTGAGGTCGTAAGTTGAGGGTTACCTGTACTGATAGATTATGGTGGAAAATTACTTCCAGCCCTTTGCGTGTTTTATTAAGTTGCCTTCTTCTCTTTCATATCAGGAAAGTGCCATTAATCCAAACAACCTTTATCCGGATGCTGACTGGTTGATTGGAAATCATTCCGATGAGCTGACACCCTGGATCCCCGTGATGGCAGCCAGGTACTCGCCCAAAGGGAGCGCTCTGAGCCCTCCTGCAGTCGACTCCCTTGGCAGCTGCCGCGTTACGCTGAGCGGTTCAAAATAGGGGAGAGGTGCAAACCCATTTACACCTGAAAACAAAGGTGTTTCAGTTAGGCCAAGGAATCTGTTTCGCATGTGAAGGAATGTATTGGGTGAAAGGGATACAAAGAATCTCAGAAAAACTGAAAGAGGAAGTGAGCTATGAATAAAAGAAGGAGGGGAAGAAAGTTTTGGTTCAGAAGAATCGGAATTGGAGGCCAGTCAGTATCTGAGCACCTGCAAAGGGTGGGTGGGAAATTGACGGGGCAAAATTCTACATTGGTTGGGACAAACCTCCAGAAAGTGGAAATTGGTAAACTCAGCATGAATTCTAAACTACTTCTAAAGCAGAGTTTCCCATTTTTTTGCATTCATAGCAGTGGCAACATCTATTTTTTTTGCCCAGTGGTTTTGTGGGCGTGGCTTGCTGGGGGAGTCATGTGACTGGGTGGGTGTGGCCAACTTTCCCCATTTTTTAAAGCATTTTTAAAAAGGCAGCAGGGCAGCCAGTGCAGTTGCAGTGCTGCTCATTAAGTCAGAGCACCCCAACCTTCCTGGCTTTGAGGGTCTGTGTGTGTGTGTGTGTGTGTGTGTGTGTAAGTGGAATGCGATGCTTCCACACGAGGGGAGGGAAAGCGTGTGCATGCATGCACTTCTATTTGCTTGAGTGGCAGCTTCCCACGCCTGCCACTCATACAGAGCTCAGCCGACACTTCTGTGGCCAGGTTCCAAACAGGCCGAGGGCCGGGGGTACTAGGCCACAGCCCAAGGGTTTGGGGACCCCCCTGTTAAGTGGTGAAATATCCAGTGGGCAGATTCCTTTTGGGGAATCTGACTCACAATATTTAGCCGTTGTGTTGTCAGCATTTGGAAGCCTTCCTCCGACTGCAGCAGACGTGCAATTTGACCAGACACCCAATCCAGTATTTAGCAAGCTGTTAGATGTCCTTCATCCCCTGAAGGAGGCCTATTTGGCTCCTCCCTCCTCCCAGCAAATCTGGGCTGAATAAACACTCGGCCTCTGACAGACAGACAGACAGACAGACAGGCAGGCAGGCAGGCAGACAGACAGACGGACGCGGTGCGAGTCCCAGGGGCTTTTGGGAGCCTTCCGCAAGGCCTGGCTTCCTTTTGCCTCCCTGCTGCAGGTCTTCCCACTATTGTCGCTATTTTCTGCTGCCCTGCTGCTTTTTCGACTTCTATGGGAAATACAACCGTCGGCAGAGCCAGAAGAGCCAGTACAGGGAATA